TTCCATTACAGTGATGTAAATACTACAGAATTATGGTAGTTATCCCTATGTTCCCAGTTGGCCTGACTCTCATTCATACCAATACCCATTTACAGCATTCTGGAACTATAAAGGAACCTTAAAGAGTGTATAACTTTAAAGTTTGCTTACTTTTAAGTCCACTTTACACTGCCAAAACAGCAGAGGAGCCTTCATGTAAATAAGAACTTGTTCCAACAGGTTTTTGAGCAAATGGTTTTCTTAAATGGCATCACAGTGAAAAAAATTAGTCCCAGCTTTCTCTTTGGAATAGTGATAAGATGTTTCAGCATGGAATAACCCTCTATGGTCTCTCCAGTTCGTGCACTGAGAAAATGTTTACACCACAGTTTGACACCTGAGTTTGGCCCATGCCAGGTGCCTCACACTCATGGGGCTTGAGCTAAGGGGCTATTTAAATGTGGTATAAACGTTTGGGCTTGGAGTAGAGACTGACTTCTAGGAATCTGTGAGGTGGGTGGGTCTCACAGCTTGAGCTGCAGCCTGAGCAAAATCTCTACACCACCATTAAATGGCCCCTAGAGTGAGGCCTGCAAGCCCAAGTTAGCTGGCAAGGGCCCGTCATGGGTTTTAATTGCAACGTAGACATACCCTGAATGTTTCTTCGGCCTTTTGACGGACCCACGGGGGTCCGCACTGCCGAGGGGGAGGCCCCGCCCCCCCACGGCCGCCGCCATCGCGAGAGCGCATGGGCAGGAATAACCCCCGTCCATCGTGCAAGTGGTCCCTCTTCCCCCACCCACATCTACCCCAAGGGTTCACGGCCACGCCAGTAAGCCAGAAACCTAACCCAGCTACCAGATACTTTTTCTGGACCCCGCCCTGGGTATGGGCTAGACTTCAGGGCTGTGGACCCTACTCAACCCTTTTATAGGGGGACTCAAGCGCATGGGCAGGAATAACCCCCGTCCATCGTGCAAGTGGTCCCTCTTCCCCCACCCACATCTACCCCAAGGGTTCACGGCCACGCCAGTAAGCCAGAAACCTAACCCAGCTACCAGATACTTTTTCTGGACCCCGCCCTGGGTATGGGCTAGACTTCAGGGCTGTGGACCCTACTCAACCCTTTTATAGGGGGACTCACGGGTTCGCTGAACTCTCCCTCCCGATTCGGGAGAGGCAGATCGCACCCGAACGCTGAACTCTCCCTCCCGATTCGGGAGAGGCAGATCGCACCCAAAGACCTGTCCCGAAGGGCAGGGGACCAAAGAACCAGACCCAAGTCAGGCGGTGGGTTCTCTGAACCCCCCTTCCGGGTGGGAGGGGATGGTCACACCCTTAATACCCATCACAGGCCTGATTAAAGTTTAATGTTGTCAAATGGGAGATATTGTAGCTGACTGACTGGCTGATTGATTTAGTTGTGGGGGCGGGGAGAGTGCAACCTCCTTCTCTAAATACTCATAAATAGGATATAAAGTGATCTGTATCAATTTAGGAATACATGTCACCCAAAGCAATTTAAAAGCATCCACACAAAGGGTTGAAAAAATGATTCAGTTAAATCGATAGAACTTGATTTCAAACAGGAAGGCAGTGGCTCAGAAAACTCTTGCTCAGGGGCAAGTAGTTCAGTCTCCATAGGGGAGGCACTACACATTTGTCACCATTACAGAGCTAGCTGTGCCTCTAGCTTCCAACGGCACACCCCTCAGGTTGCAGATTTCATGTCTTCACTTCTCTCAAGGTAGCAACCTGTGATTCTCACACTCCTAGGCCAGATCCTGGGCTGCAGGACCCTGGGTATACACCACACTTACCCAACAAGTCTGACTAGGTTAGATACCTGCAGTTCTTTCTGGCAGGAGCTTGTAGGACCACTAGTTAACACAGGGATGTGAAGCAACCTTCTTAAATCAAAGTTTTATCTTCAGTTAGAAACAGCATAAGGAAAGAGAAATTTGATTTGAAAACAACAGCCAGCCAGCCTGCATATCTATCTTACATAACCCTCTCCCATCCCACCCTGCAAAGGCCTTGCTTCTTCAGACACTCAAACAGGAGTCTGCTTGTGTCAATCTCTTCTCTGAAAACAGTTCCCAAACATGTGCTTGATCTCCTGCAAAGACGTTTAAAAACCGCTTGTAGCTCTTTTGTTTGGCTTGTTGCCAGCACTGTAAAACAAGCTTTGTATCTTGGAAGGAGTCAATGAATATATTCCTCACAGGTAACACTAGGTGTATGAGTTACATAACCATCATTTACGTTAGATGGAATTACATTGTTATCTTTAAATCCCCAATTCAGGAAAACATCCCTTTTGTTTTAGTGCTTTCCTGAATCTTGGTGCAATTGGGGAAGCTGACAGTGCTTTTATAAGTTAAGGTTTCCAAACTAAATGAGCCCAATTCTTCCTTTATAGGTTATATTCGCTAGACCTTTAATCATTCTTGTTGCTCTTCTCTGGACCTTCTCCAACTTCTCCACATCTTTCTTGAAATATGGTGCCCAGAACTGGACAAAATACTCCAACAGAGGCCTAATCTTTGCAGAGTACAGCGGAAGAATGACTTCTAGTGTCTTGCTCACAACACACCTGTTAATGCATCCTAGAATCATGATTGCTTTTTTTGCAACAGCGTCACACTTTTGACTCATATTTAGCTTGTGGTCCACTATAACTCCTAGATCCCTTTCTGCCGTACTCCTTCCTAGACAGTCGCTTCCCATTCTGTATGTGTGAAACTGATTGTTCCTTCTTAAGTGGAGCACTTTTCATTTGTCTTTATTAAACTTCATCCTGTTTATCTCAGACCATTTCTCCAATTTGTCCAGATCATTTTGAATTATGACCCTATCCTCCAGATTAGTCGCAACCCCTCCCAGCTTGGTATCATCCGCAAACTTAATAAGCATACTTTCTATGCCAATATCTAAATTGTTGATGAAGATATTGAACAGAGCCAGTCCCA